CAACTACAACAATAACTGAAAAACTACAAATATTCATTCAGTGGTGCCTGCGTAGAATAGAGGGAATTAAATGGTACAGGCTCTGTGAGAGAACTGAACACGCTCCTATGGACCAGAAAGTGCAGAAAAGACGCTGGCGCTGGATAAGATACACGCTGACAAAAACTCTCTGCATGAAGGTATCAATTTCTCAATGTATGTATGTTTGTGAATGTATGTACATTTTTCGCATTCGTGCTTTTTTGTGTGTTTGCATTTCTAATATACACATTATGTACAGCAAGCCCTAAATGAACTTATATGCCTTACAGATCAAACGCAGCTGCTTTGTGAAAGATTGAGCTGTTGGGAGGCCTGGACGTAAAATGCGTTTGCGTGCCCAATTTGTGACCCTTCGAAAATAAAGCCCCCCCCCCCCCCAGGTCCTGGACAGGGAGGAGGGTGGTTGGTCGCTATATAACAGAAACGTAATCTGTCAAATGGAGAAGCATGATCAATATACAGCACAACGACCCCATCACGCCAGGCCAGCAGTTCTCAACATGTGGGTAGCGACCCTTTTGGGGGTCGAACGACCCTTTCACAGGGGTCGCATAAGACCATCGGAAAATACACATTCACTGAAGTTATAAAAAAGCAAAGAAAATGATTGCATGGTTGGGGAGTCACTGCAACATGAGGAACTGTATTTAAGGGTCGCGGCATTAGTTAAGTTGAGAACCACTGTACAAAGCAATCAGACTTCAGCCATGGATTGGCACCAGTAAATAAAACCTTCGCCCCGCTGCCACCTGGTCTGGTGTGCGTGGGGGGTTGGGAGCATTCAATCAGACTAAGGGCTGTGGTGAAATGGAAATGAGCTGACTTGGTGGGACGCCGGTCTTATACTGGCTGGGGAATGAGGATAAAGAGACGCTGGCCGTCATGATCCTGAAAGCAAATGAACTTCGGCAGAAGAGACAGACACTTGGTGCTGGGGCAATGGAGAAGAAAGTGAAAGCATCAAGGCGGACTTGAGAAAGAAAGCTAAGATTTAAATAAATCAAAGATGGCAGTTTTTTTTTTACATGGCAATGGAAAAGCCAGTCTTATTATTATAAATTATGCAACCTATATGTTTTAATTGGGTGTGGGTTCCAAAACCCCACTGAAGGAAAAGGGGGCAAGGTATTTTAGGAGCAAGCCAATAACAAACTGATTTCATCTAATCAAGGGGAAATTTAAAAAATGTGAGCAGCGGGGGTTACCCTATGCCCTCAATCGGATATGTTGGGCCGAATGGCACAGATATTGCAGCCAGCTTGTCAACCACAATACAATCTGTCAACTCTCATTCGGAGGGCGAACGCAAAAGAACAAAGTGACTTGAGTATCCTTCACAGGACACTGCAGAACCAAATCCAGGCATTTTAGGGGGGGGGGGGGGTGTGGGGGGCAGTTGTGGTTTTTCTAAACAAATTTACGTCTAGCAGTTTGCCACTGCTTATTGAGCGGTGGGCTCTCCATTCCACAGTCAAAACCAACTCAAGGGATCGAACCCAGCACCCCGGCATTACGAAGCGGTCCGCAACGCCTAAGCTACACAGACCAAAGAAGAATTTTATATAGCTCATATGGCTGGATTTGTCTCTAGTATGATCAATATAACAAGTCAAATGCATTTCATGTAAGACTTTGCTACAAATGGACACAGAACTAACAGTTGATGATGAGCCAGATATATCCACTGAGCTAATGGATCATGTAAGCTTAAAATACTCTTCTAAGCTGATTACGCTGTTGACATTTATGTTATTTGATGTTCATATCACCAGAATCAGAAGTCTTGTAAACAGCATAAAAAGGCTACTTATGCACACTGTTACATACAGTACACTGAAATGTGCTTGATGATGTCAACGATATGTGGGTGGGTGTGTGCTAATGGATGTCCAAAACCAGGTATTATTTCAACAGCACTATCTCCACTGTATAAGGTATTTTTAAATGACTACAGAAAATTTCACAATGATAACAAACTGATTTCATCCAACAAGGGGAAATTAAAAAAATGTGAGCATTAAATTGCTCCAGTTAACACTGATTTTCATAACATTTGCTGGCATACCTATAACTGTTGCTACATGAAGACTATCACATACTACTAAAGAAATGGGGGTGCCTAGTTGACAATATGTTCTTAGTGCACTTGTATTCATGACGAGATGCACAGGCCGTCTGGAGGTGACAGGTTCAATTCCCCAGCCCGGTAACTATAGCTTTAGATTTTTATGTTGTCTATGTGTTTTTCTATCTTTCTACTTCTTTCTATGAGTGCCGATCAATACACTTTCTGTTACTTGATTAATTCATAATATTTAACAGCCTCAAAGGTTCCCCCTCTGTTTAATTATACTAATGAAAAAGCTGACAATAGCTGGCAAACAACAGAACCCTTCAAAGAATAATAATCAGCATGAAAACAGACTAAGCATGTTTTAGAGAGATCACACCTTTCTCAATGCATTCGTATTAACAGTGCATTATTATAGACTGCTTTGCAGGCATCCAACATGCAAACATCAAGTCTAGCATATATCTCACCAACAAATGTAGAGGTAACTGATCAGAGAGTCAATAACAACAACTGGTTTATCGTCCCCATGTGGGATGCAATTTTTCGTTATTTGAAGCCCCACCCGGGCTTTTGTCGGGGGCCCTGAATATCATCATCAGGTGCCTTGCCAACTGGCGTGGGTGATCATGCCTCTCCATAATCTGCGATCTAATGCAGCATGTATCAGTTCGTGTGCCGACACACCTCCAAGCCATGCAACAAGACTGTCAAGTATCTTCTCTTGTTGTCTTCCTTTATATATATATATATATATATATATATATGGACCTAAATATAGACGGGCCATAAATATGGCCTAAATGGCTAATAGGGGTTTCTGGGACCTCTCCACAGGTGATCCTAATCCGCATGGTGGCACTTTGTGTCACTGGGTGTTTATCGCTTGTGTGTGTGTTCTGGTGGGGTACATCAAGAGAGAGAAAGAGAGAGAACATCTGGTAAACCAACAATACAGTGTTATAGAACTGTGATGATGTTGATGAATTTATTATTTAGGAGCACACAGTCGACTGGCTTTTATAAAGCCCACCTGCTGAGCTGAACTAAATTGAGTTGATTCAAGAACTGACATCACTGCACTCCGGGCATTCCCATAAGCGCTCTATCTCCATCTTGAGCTGCCAGCGCAGTTCCAATACCAATGGTACCAGTAGCATTCTGATTATTTGTTCTCTTGACATTTCCTCGTCACTCCCTGCTGCATCACTCTCACCAGACTGTGGTGATTCATTTACTTTTCTGAATTGTTCACATTCTCCTACAAGGTCGTAACCAGTTCTGCCTAATCATGCATTCATCCACCAAGTTGTGCACAGTCCGTATGTATGTCCGCCTGTTCATTTTCCAGCACACTGGCATACCCTGGAGAAAAGATCCAGATAGTGCTCTCACCTCTGAAGCGAAGCATGCCACTCTGCACAAAGCATGCCTCACCTTCTTTAGCGTGCTTTCTGAGTGCAGTTACAATCACTGTGTGTGTGTGTATGCGCGCGCATACGTAAGTGCTGTGTTCTCTAGCCAGCGGAAAGCTGTAGTGACCACCTTCCCCTGTCAACTGTGCCAACATGGTGTAGACCAGTGCTATTTAACTAATAATTTGAAAATTTGCACACACCAGAGCTTCTCCTTTGAATGCTCATTAATACAGTACAAGTGGCAATGATCCAAGGGCCACTTGCTGGGCTTCAGCGGGCCACATTTGGCCTGCAGGATTTCATCTGGACAGTCCTGGTGTTGACCGAAGACTTTTACAAAACAAAAATTAGTTAACTTTTCCCAGATGTCGGGCTGGAGGATCTGATCTGATCTCGCACAAAAGGGAAAAATTTGTGGAGAACTGTGTGGACACTGTATAAGATAAATGTGTTAACAGCTTTAAATTAAAAAATAATTTTAAAAATCAAACAGGCTACACCCCTAAGCTAAATTTCCGGAGCAATCTAACATAAATGATCACCAATGCATTGGAAAAGGTGCAAAAACGATCCTTACATCTCCCCCAACACCTCGCAGAGGTAAATGATGGAAGAGACGTAGAACAAGAAGAAGAAGAAGAAATGAAGAAAATGAAGAAAATTCAATCTGTGTACACATAATTACTCTAATATGAACTCTACTGCATCCGTTTTGCAACCTTTTTTGTTTTGTTTTACCATACCAATGTAGTTATCTTTCTTTAGTTACTATTTTTATTAATTTTTTATGTTGTGGTCGTAAGTGCGGATGGTCATAGACTGAGGAGAAGGTCTATAACAGAAATGACTACCGGTACAGAAGGCTGAAACCTGTGCACTGACATCACAACAAATGGCACACAGCATGGGCTAAAAGACTTCCTTAGCACCTGTGGAGATATTCAAATGAAAGGGAAATAGCCCTTAAATAAAATTAAGAAAAAAATATAATGCATTGTAAAATGAAGTTGGTTCTTATTATGCGTTTCATCCTTAACCCTTTCAGCACCAGAAGCTTTCATATGAGACGCCAAAGTAATGAAATAATCTTAATGAAATGGTATAAATCCATTACATTCCAAGTGGCAAATTACACTGGAGAAGCCAGATTTCTTTAGTTTATTCTGACTAAATGTTATAACTTAAGAGGTCACATTATGCTTTGCAGGAAGATTGACGGATGCTGTAACACAATGTGCGCTGCTTGTAAATGAACAAGTTAAAATGGTGTTTGGCACACTGTGTTGTGGTTTAAAGCTACGCTACAATATTTACATCTTTCAGTCTCTGAAACTCAAAATCAGAAAATTTCTAAAGAGTCACCTCTTACAAAATGTTTGTCAAGGAGTGGTGAGTCTATTACCCTCCTCAACCCAAATGGGGCCCAAGAAACCACACAGAGACAATTAGGTAAGGTTAGAAGCACTTACCTCAAAGATGCCCAGAAGTCTATCAACAACACCTGTAGCACCAGCTTCTTCTAGAGCTTCTCTTTCAGCGGCCACAACCGACTCTTCCCCTGGGTCAATCCCCCCTCCTGGTACAATCCACTTCTCTACATCATGAGTGGAACTTATCAGTAAGATCTGCAATCAGAAAGACACTCTGCTTGCTAGACAATTTTGCTTCTCTTGAGCTTATGTTGAACAGACACAAATGAACATAGTTTTATCTATAGTTCGTTCAACAATAGATAAACACACACATGCGAGCTATTTTCTCGTGTTCCTCTGTTTCTGGTGCCCAGCGTGCAGAGTAGCTTGCATCACTTGACAACACCCAGAGCAAGAGCACATCATGGATTTTCTGTCCCAAGATATTCAGGTGTGTGAGGTAACGAGCAAGCTGATAGATTAGCTGCTGCTGCCGCTCCTCTTGGCCGTGACTTGCTATATGATAAAGCGGATGTGGTGAAGGTTCTCTGGGATCAAATGGACAGAGCAATAGAGCTGATAGAGAATCCATACACTGAAAGACTAATTCATCAGGGGGGGGTGTCTGGAATATATCCAACACTGAAGTGGAAATAAAGGCGGATTTTTAATCAGGTTGCAGCTGGTACTATTTCAACTCTTGGTTGGCTACTGAAGAAGGGGATGGAGCACGTGTGGGAATGTACCGAGTGCAGTCATGGCAATTCTTGATTCGTTAATTCATCCCACCCCCACCTTTATGTATATTATAATATTTCAAGCTAGTGCCAAAGTACATGCTGGTGACAATAGGTTATGTCAGACCATCTCCAAGACCTGAAGACCCATATTTTAAGGTTTGCCGTGGTGTAGTGGTTAGATGCTCGCTTGCGGATAGGAAGGTCACGAGTTAGCGTCCTGAGGGAGCCGAAATTTTTGCAAAATATATTTCCCAGGTCGACCCATCCTTGAGTGCGAACCAGGTACAGTCCTTGGAAGTAAAGTAAAATCCTGAGTGCAAGGATGGCAATTCTTGCTTCATTCATTCATTCCCTCCTTTAAGTATATTATCATTTTTCAAGCAGAGTCAAAGTACATGATGGTGACAATAGGTTGTCAGGGGTTTCCGTTTAGCTAAGATTTGAGGACCCTTTTATTTTTGGTTTACCAGGGACCTCCAAACTTTTCAATAGCCACATGATGAACTTATTATTATGTATAAATATTAGAATCGCAAAAATGATTACATTCTAGAGCTGACGTATAGACCTACATATTTTTTAATAGCTGCATGCTCTACTGGCTGCTTCGACCATAGACACATCATAGTGCTGCAGAGTTTCTCTTATGTTATCTTCCCATCTTGTTCTCGGTCTACCTCTTGCTCTACGTCCCTCTTCTTTTTTGGTATATGCCTTATATGGTATAGGATAAGAAGGCATGCTCTACAACCTGCTTCGACCATAGACACATCATAGTGCTGCAGAGTTTCTCTTATGTTATCTTCCCATCTTGTTCTTGACCTACCTCTTGCTCTACGTCCCTTTCCTTTTTTGGTATATGCCTTATATGGTATAGGATCAGAAGGCATTCTCTCCAAGTGAGCAAACCATTCGATCTGCTGTCTTTGTATGTAATTTAGAATTGGTTCTGTGCCGACTTTATCTTGTATGACCTCATTCCTGATTTTATCTATTCTGGTCACTCCCACAGCCTTTCTCAGACTCCTCATTTCCATGGTTACTAATTTTCTTTTATGTTTTGTTGTGAGTAACAACGTCTGGCACCGATAGCATAGGGTGGGCATGAATATGCTTTGTATGAGATGTTTCTTTGTGCTGATTGGGATTGCCTTATGCTGTAAGAGGGGGTCTAGCTGTCCCAATACTTGGCCTGCTTACTGCATCCGATGTCAATTTCTTGATCCAATTTACCATCTTTAGTGAATGTTGTTACAAGTTATTTAACTTGGAGAACTTATTATTATGTATAAATGTTCAAATCGCAAAAATAATTACATTCTAAAGCTGAGATATGGACCATCCCCCCCCCCCCCCCCCCCCCCCCCCAATATATTTTAATAATATAAATAGCATAATATGTAAGGTTAGAAAAAGAATTCTCTTATGTTACTTTGAACCAAATTTAACAGTTTATCTGTGAATTTCTTGAGAAAAAGCAGACACGCAAACAGGTAGCTAGAGGCCTCAGAGATGTAGCTTTGCAGAGGAATGCAGAAAATTCCTTAAACAGCCAAAATGATTAATTTGTTTGTTTAAAAAAAAAAGACAAAGACAATTTATCACAAATTAGAAAACAGCTGTTTGTTTGTTTTCTTAGTCCTATTAGAATAGAAAATCTAGAATATACTGCGGTTAAAGTAGAGATTTATGGATAGAGAGAAAAGGAAGACAGCAAGAAAAGTTTTTTAACAGACATGGGAAGATTACAAAAAGTTAGTTGCGTATCCTGTACAGGACATTGCAGAACCAACCCCAGCATTTTTTTTTTAGCAGTTGTGGTTTTTCTAGGCAAATTTACATCCAGTAGTTTGCCAATGCTTTCTAAACCGTCCGCTCTCGGTAACACCGTCGAAATCAATGCAATACAAACTGTCTGCAGTTGGGATTGAACCTGCACCCCGGCATTATCAAGCGCGTTCGCAACCCCTAAACCACAGAGGTGGACAGGCATGGGAAGGTAAAAGAGGGAAAAATAAAACAAGAAGTTAGACAAGGATTTGTTTTATCTTTATCACCAGATTTATTCTATTTCGATAGTACACAAAAAACAATGAAAGATCAAAGACAGGCCTACAAACAGTCAAAGGTATTACAGGAACTCGTCTGTGGGTGTAAATCAGAAAGCGATCATAAGAAGAAGGAAGAAGGCCAGGAATACAAGTTATAATACAAACATTCTATGTTATACCGATGATTCATGCCGACAGCTGAGAAAACACAAGACATACAGCAATTTGTGGACACTGTAGTAATCGAGATGCTGCAACCTGATGTTGACAGGCACAGCAGGATTAGAAAATAAGAACAAAAATAAGTAATGGAGAGTGCAAGAAAGGGACGTTCTGTAAGTATCAAGAAGACAGAAACTATGGTTGCAACAAAGAAACAAAAAGCCTAAACTTGATATTACAGTAGAAGGCATAGAAGGCAAAGTGCTTAAGCAGATCAAGAATTTCAAATATTTGAAGATAATTATAACATCTGATTGAAGAGAGGGACAGAGATTAAGATCAGGACAAGCTGGGCGAAGGTGGTTTTCAAAAAATGAAAACATATTTTATGCAACACGTCTCTCACATTAAACATTAGATTGGTAGGTAGGTAGGTTGTACCCCACCAGGACAACATACACACAATGAACACCCGGCGACATAAACTGCCATCATGCGGATGAGGATCACCCATGGAAAGGTCCCGGAGAGCCGTTAGGCCATATTTAGGGCCCCTGGCAACAGCCAGAGTTGGGCTTCAAAACAACGAAAAATTGCATCCCGCATGGGAACGACGCTAATCAATTGATTAAACATTAGAGAAAAGAGTACTATGATGTCCATTATATGGCTATGAATCTTGGAATATGAAATAAAGAAGAACCTGGAGGCTTTAGGAGATGTGATTTCAGACAGGCATGCTGCAGATACCATGGATAGCCAGAGTAAATAACACTGACTGCCTGGAAATAGTTAATGAAATTTGAACTTAGTACACATTCTGAACATCTCCGCATCTCGCCGGGCACGAGATTTCGTGTTGGCTCCCATTCATGCCGTGGCCATTCCCATGGGCTGTCCTATCTTCTAGGGGGTAACTATGTGTTATTTCCAATTCTGCAAGCATTCTATATTCCATGTTGTGAGTGGCCAGCATGTTCTATTTTCCATGCTGTGAGTGGCCAGCATGTTCTACTTTCCACGTTGTGAGCGGCCAGCATGTTCTATTTTCCATGCTGTGAGTGGTCAGCACTGTGTGTGTTAAAGACTGCTCTTTTTGCTATCCCTGCGGCCTTATTTTGTGATTTAAACTTTTAGATGAATTTCCTTCACCTGTCAGCATTGGCAAAAGACAAGCAGAGTAGCACTGCTTTTCTGCAAAGCATGTAAACTATTTAAACACTGGCTCATGACCACACACACAGAGACACAAAACTGTCGCCCAATGTTGCCTGGCACAAAATAGAGCTGCGCACTTTCATGTTGGGCTTAGATCAAAGGAAAGCCGGTTATCCGTACGGTGTGTATGGACAGAGAAGGGGAAGAAAGAACATATGCTAACACCCCTAGAACATAGGACAGTCTGTGGGAATGACAGTATTATGAATGCGGTGATGTTCCTGATATGTACCTAGAAAACTCTACACAACCATAAGAAAGAGGCAGTCAAGTTTTCTTTAGTCATGTGATGAGAAGAGTGGGACTGAAGAACATCCTGATGACTGAAACGATTAAGGTAGAGGGGGCAGGGGTAGACTAACAGAAATGATGCCTGATGGCCTCAAAAGATGGCATGGAGGAATATCAACAGTGTAACTGATTCAGAATATAAATGACTGAGATCTGTTGAGAAACAGGAGTGCTCACCCGCATGGCAGAGCACATTATGATGATGGCAGCAATCAGGTGATGTCATCACCTGTATAAATGGCTCAATGATTTGTGAGATGCGGTCTACCTGGGTATATACAGCACAGGTAAATTAGTTAGTCTTTCCTCTTGTGTCAAGTGCGGCACATAGGGCAGAGGTCATGACTCTCCATGCATGGCGGTTCGTTGCAATCTGTGAGGTCTTGTGGGATGCATGAGTGAGCCTTCCCTGATGATAGTTCTACGTAGGGTTTCCTTTGGTCTTCCACGAGATCTTTTCCCCAGATAAATGGGAACATAGTAAAATAAGAGGGTCAGGCATGATGATGGAGACAGCAGTTGTCACAGGGGCACTTTCATGACCGGCAGAGCAAAAAAGCAACTCAGATGTTAATAGTGACAGACTCAATGAGCACGCTCAAGAAAATCAAAACTGACAAATGCAAACCAGAATGGGTTGACAGTATCCAGAAGTTCCGCTTCAAGAAACTATCTTGGCTGTATAGATTGGGAACTGCCGGGGTAAAAGGAAATGAAAGAGCCGACAGACTGGCCAAGGTAGAGGAAGAAGTAATATGGAAAGATATCAACACAGACACTTGGGAGAGATCAGCTGCAGACTGACTCCTCTGGAGGTAGACAGTGAAAGCTAGACTGTTGCACTTTGAGAGAAGCCAAAGGCAGCGAGCTATAGAGTGGGAACATCTGAGAGAACAATAGCCTGAGAATGATTAAGCATCAAAGTAGAGTGGGGACAACTGAGAGAACAATAGCCTGAGAATGATTAAGCATCAAAGTAGAGTGGGGACAACTGAGAGAACAATAGCCTGAGAATGATTAAGCATCAAAGTAGAGTGGAGACAACTGAGAGAACAATAGCCTGAGAATGATTAAGCATCAAAGTAGAGTGGAGACAACAGAGAACAATAGCCTGAGAATGATTAAGCATCAAAGTAGAGTGGAGACAACTGAGAGAACAATAGCCTGAGAATGATTAAGCATCAAAGTAGAGTGGAGACAACTGAGAGAACATTAGCCTGAGAATGATTAAGCATCAAAGTAGAGTGGAGACAACTGAGAGAACAATAGCCTGAGAATGATTAAGCATCAAAGTAGAGTGGAGACAACTGAGAGAACATTAGCCTGAGAATGATTAAGCATCAAAGTAGAGTGGAGACAACTGAGAGAACAATAGCCTGAGAATGATTAAGCATCAAAGTAGAGTGGAGACAACAGAGAACAATAGCCTGAGAATGATTAAGCATCAAAGTAGAGTGGGGACAACTGAGAGAACAATAGCCTGAGAATGATTAAGCATCAAAGTAGAGTGGAGACAACTGAGAGAACAATAGCCTGAGAATGATTAAGCATCAAAGTAGAGTGGGGACAACTGAGAGAACATTAGCCTGAGAATGAATGAGCATCAAAATGTTCATATAAACCATGTCACAGAGACAGCGACTCTCACATAGGACTTTGTGGTCATAGCAGACAATGTTACCTACACCAGCAGCATAACTCAATGGTCCCCAGGGAACTACAATTTAATTCAAGTAGAATGTCGAATGGCAGCTGGCAGTGTGACTATCAGGAATGGACCATCTATGGACAAGAGAGACATCATCAACGCCAAACAAGAGATTAAACACTGTGAAGCTTTCAGTTTCATGGAAAATGATTTTTGGCTATCCTCCGAATAACGGTCCTAAATTTTGAGGTGGAAAATATACCCTAACAGGGCCTCAGTCACGTGTCGATTGCGCACTTCCGTTGTCTTGAAATTGCGCACTTCCGGTGCCTTCAGCCACCGCCGAGAGTATCCCCCACGCTGCGGGTGAGCGGCGTGGATTGGGGCTAAACTAGATGGCTGGGACTCACGAGCAGCAGCTACCGCATCTCCTGCAGCTTCCTTCATTTTATTTGCTCACGAGTCATAGCCATCTAGCTTAGCTCCAATCCACGCCGCAGGATTCTCTCGGCAGTGGCGGAAGTCGCCGGAAGTTCGCGATTCGGTGGTGGCGTTATAGTCCCCGGAAGTGTGCAACTGACATATGACCGAGGCCCTGTTAGGGTATATTTTCCGCCTCAATAATTTAGGACGGTTATTCGGAGTAATAGCCTGATTTTTCACTGAATAGACTGCATACCATGTATGTAGCAATTGGAGCAGGAGACAGGAAAATCATGTGGGAGACGCCTCCGAAAACACTTGGAGACATGCTCAGGAGGGGATCAGAGTACTTTTAGTCATGTCCGATGATCTTTAAAAAAACAATGTTGATCAGGTTATTTTCTTACCTCTTTTTCTGTCCTGTCTTTGAAGCAGAGACAAGCAGCTCTTCTTCTGAGCCCATCAGCATCATAAGTTCTAGCCACAGCAGCATCTTTCATGATCTTAATGGTACTTGACCTGTCTGTTTCCCCAGACATTGCTTCTTCTTCCAGGACTGACTGACTGCTTTAGTTTACAGCACTGCAATGGTGGCAACTGGAACTGTCACGACGTACATATTTTCAAAACGACTGCGAAATCGCCAAAGAATAAACGCCTACGATGTTGAGGGAAATGAATTGTTAAGTTAATTAACATGTTCAAGTGCCGAAGATAACACAATGGTTGTTTAGTTAACGACTGTTATATAACAAATCCTGAATTTGCAACTGCAGGCAACATGTATCCACGATTTGCGTAATAATATTATTGCTAACTATTAATGCTGTTTTTGTAAATATGTTTTAAACTGTTATATATTTAAAGAAAACATGGCTATAACTTCTTTCTATAAGTACCCTTAAATTCACATTTTACGCTGAAACTTTGCAGACCATTTGTGACTAAAAATTTGTTCGCTAAAAAGCAATAACAATGTGAGGCGATAACAAGATATATTGCACTTGCAGCACCAAAGATACCCACTAAAGTGGAAAATTTAGAATATTCAGAATGTCCAAAGTCTACAGATCTGATGTGTTGTCTGTTGTAGTCCGTGAGATAACCACATTCTCGAAGATCCAAGAAACACTTGATCGCTGGTCATGCATGCCGCCGGTGTTTTGATTCCGAACCTCGTCCAGGGCTGTCCAAGTTGGTACTTTCGTACAGGCCGTACTTTTTGACCTTCTTGAGCAAAACTGTACGTTTGGTACAAGTCCAGCGCGAGAATACAGTCGGCCGTGGTTTGGTACAACACCCGGTGTTTTTGGTACGTTTTAGAAAATTTACTTGAATCTTTTCAATATCGGCATTGCGTTGAACACTAAAAAAAAAAAAAAACGAAATATACTTCTTCTTCTTCTTCTTCGCGTTCACCAGCTGTAAACTCTGGCGGCAGGTTCTTGTTGCTCGTCCACTACTGAACTGCAGTCCTGCTAAAGAACCTGAGTGTTGCGTGTGCATCAGTTTTACAGATCTCATTCTCTTGAATGCAGACTGTTGGTTCCTTGCCTCTCCGGCAGATGCACTCCGACTTCAAAGGAAGCTCCCCAATTAGTTGACTCTTACGACATGCTTTTGGGGAGGCAGTGGGTCTATTCTTGTTTTCCCCACAATGGGGCCCCGGAACCCACACGGGGGAAAATATACTGAAAGTAAAATGCTTTGTCTAGAATACACGAAAATTGTTTAAACACTTTTTTTAAACAAACCCGCAGTCAAACTGTACATTTGCGTTAACAATTATGAAATATACTGAAAGTAAGCACAATATAATTGTTAACGCAAATGTACAGTTTGACTGCTGGTTTGTTAAAAAAAGTGTTTAAACAATTTTCGTGTATTCTAGACAAAGCATTACGGTTGCTGTGTTTGTAAATTGTTACTGTGTTTGTAATTTGACCTGTGCTTGGTTAATATTAATTTATGTACCCTGTAGTGCCATTTCAATAAATTATGTCCGTATTCCATAGTTGTAGGTTTCAAACTGTACGATATAAATGGCAAATAAAGATATTTTTAAGGGCGCCCAGTTGTTCTTGTTCTTAGTACACTTGTTTCCTTAGCGAGGCGCACACTCTATTTGGAGGTGACAAGCTTGATTCCTGGCAGGGTAGCTATAGCTTTCGATTTTTATGTGGTCTAGTGTGTCCTTCTATCTTTCTACCTCTTTCTTTGAGTGCCAATCAATACATTATCTGTTGTTTTAAAGACCAATGTAGAGATATTCTTTCAGACAACCGGCAGACAGTTCTCATTTTAGCATTTCAGTTCATTTGAGGATCGTGCTTTCTTATTCGGTTGCATTTCGATTTTGTGAGTCTGTTAACAATATATATATATATATATATATATATATATACTATATATATATATAATAATATATATATATATAATAATATATATATATATATATATATATATATATATATATGCGTGTGTGTGCATAGACATACTCACTCACACGAGTATATATACACATACACACATTTAACAACGTTTAACGATCATTAAATTCAAAATTTGACACCTTTTGGCGTGTTTTGGTACCTTTTAAACAAAATTTTGGAAATACTCCACACACAAATATCGGCATCCCTGCGTCTGGTGCCGACCTTTATTTGTGATAGTGTCGTGCGCAAATACGCCGTTGCGGTGAATGGGCTATAGATTTTGTATGGAAACCAGAATTACTAGATTCTGGTTTTGTTAGTGCCGCTAGGACACTGCGTTTTGAGAGCTACATGAAGAGAGAGAGAGAGAGAGAGAGAGAGAGAGAGAGAGAGAGAGAGAGAGAGAGAGAGAGAGAGAGAGAGAGACTTTAAAACAGCACGATGTGTTAATGGCCGAAGCTTACAGAAGAGCAAGAAGCGGAACCT